GAATATTAGAGAGAAACCTAAATGTGTGATTGTTGACCTTTACTTTTCTTCTAGAAAGTTTTCATCTCTTTTTCTTTCTGCCCACACCCTTTTCTTAAAAACAAGGGCTTCCACTCATTGCTGACTTGCACGTTTTTGCTGCTTTCGTCTTGATACACCAGGTTTCAAACTAGCCGAGCCTTTCTCCTCACAAAACACCAATGTAATGGTTGTAAAATCTAACTGGAAAGCTGAGGCTCTTCACAATGACCCCGCAGAGAACCAGGATGGGTGTAGCATGGTGACTGTGGGATGGTGTTGAGTCTGGAAGCACCTGTGAGGTGGGGAGATGGCGGGCAGCTGCAGAGGTGGGAGATGGAGTCCAGAGGAGGGCCACGAAGATGATCCGAGGGCTGGAGCACCTCTGCTATGGAGACAGGCTGAGAGAGTTGGGGCTGTTCAGCCTGGAGAAGAGAAGGCTCCGGGGTGATCTTATTGCAGCCTCCCGCATCCAGCTGGTGTGAATTTGTAATTACGTAATTAAGTAAGGTTTAGGCCCTTCCTACAAAAGGTGGGCCATTTCCTCCTGGCTGCAGAAGATGCAACAACCTGCTGTGGAGCCGCAGCCTATGTTGGTGAGCAACACTGGAACAGGTTGCCCAGAGAAGTTGTAGATGCCCCATCCCTGGAAGTGTTCAAGGCCGGGTTGGATGAGATGTTGAGCAACCTGGTGTAGTGGAGGATGTCCCTGCCCGTGGCAGGGGGATTGGAACTGGATGATCTTTGAGGTCCCTTCCAACCCAAACCATTCCATGATTCTATGGCGGGCAGCCGCTGAGGCTGGGAGGGTTCCTGTGCCAAGAACCCCCCGGAGATGTGGAAATCGCACCTTCCCATCTCCACGGGCTTCTATCACCGTGTTGTCCCACAAAGCACAATGTCTCTCCGTGGACCTACGGAGCACGGAGGTGGCTGCAGCCCCTGAGGTGCCCGGAGAGCGCACCCATGGCCGCTCTCTCCCTCGACACCCCCAGTCCGGGCACCCCGACCCA